TAGAGAACATTTTCATGAGAAGTGTATCAATAATTCAGTTTCTCTTACAACTAACAGTCATTCATGACCTCAAATTATCTAGTGAATCTAAATTTTCAATCAAGAACTCTGCCCTGGGCGTATCTTGGGCAGCCACGAAGTGTCTCTGCTAATTTCACTTAATTTAACTGTGGGTGGTCTGGGCTGGAGGCTCAAGGTGTGGCCCTGGTTAGGTTCAGGAGTTGTATTTAGCTTTGTAAAGCTGTAGCCTCGCCTGTGCAGAGTCAACAGCAAATCTTTCAAACATTTACTCAGGCGCTTTACACCAAGGCCAGCTGAGTGACTCAGAGCGTGAAATGAAGCACAGATGTAGATCTTAGCAGGAGTTGAGACTTACCGTATGAATCAGGCCAGGCCGTGATGTACTCCCTTACCCCGGGTGAGCTGAGTAAGTAGTGTTTGCTTCAGTAAAATAGAGGTAGTTCAGTACTGGAAAGTTCTCCAGATCCTTGGCTGGGAGTTATTATTTTAAAATTAAATTTATCGTAAAAAAGACATGTTGCTAAGGGGTAAATGGCAGGAAGAAAAAGTTAAAAATACGTATGGCATCCTATTTTCCATGAGTTGGTATTTACATTATTTAGTTCAGATGAACGGAATTACTTCCACTGGAGAAACTTCTCATGAAAAGAGTGGAGTTAGGCTCCAATTAGTAAAAAGATCTATATTTGCACACTATATATAGCTTCACTGTCTTCAAAGCACGCTGCGAACACCTGCCATTCCACTGTTTGCTGCCTCCCTTTTCATCATACTGTCTGTGAACAGCCTGTTCGTGGTATTTCATCCTCTCTGGTGTAACTGCCGTGACTTTCAACTGTGGAGCACCTGCGCCAGCATTGTGTGAGGTGAGCAATGTGGAACAGGATGTGAAAACACCAGAGCAAACAGCACAAGACACCAGCCAGCTTCACAAAGCCAGTGCTGGGAGCAGACCTGCACCAGGTCTGTGAACTCATGAACAGCACTGCCTCACCTTGAGGAAAGGTAAAATCTGTTGCTCGATACTCTGTGGCATTAAATTAACACCAGCACTAGTCCTGATCCTGATCTTACTCATTTCACTCCAGAGAGGACTGTACCTGGCCCCGTGTGTCTCAAAACTGCAAAATCTGCATCGTTGGTGGCAGTGTAAAATAGTGACATTCTTTTCAAAAAAGGCACCTATAGACTCTGTGTTTATTATATATTATATCCTAAAATCTAGTCATTTAAAGCTCATGTTCATTACTGCTTCAAGCCAAAAGCATCTTAATGACATAAATTTGCCTTAATTAATTCTAAGAGTCTACAGTTTGCTCTATTATTTGCTGCCACTGTAGAGAGAAAGGGCCATATTCCCTATTATATAAATAAACATTATTAGAATCAGGATTTTTTTCCCCCCATAGTTGTTATGGAGAACATCCCCCCTGCTTAATCTTGTTATTGCAACTATACCAGCCGTGTGAATAACAGGGTCATCATAACAGCTAGCATTTACTAAGATGTCAGGAATATTTAAAATTGTAGCAGGTGGGAGAAGAAGATGCATTTTCTGCATTTTAAAAATAAAAATTGTAAGTCTCCTATCTTCAAAATATTGGGCAGAAATTTTCTACTTTAAAAAATGGAAGTTGAAAATGTTATCCATGTAGTTACTGCAAAAAATGCCAGATTTTGAATGAATTTTCAACAAACTTTTTCAGGGACAATATATGTGCTATTTGCAAGAAGGCGTTTGCTTGCTTGCTTGTTTATTTATTACAGACATTTTAGAAGAATCTAAATCTCTCATAAATCTCTCATAAAATTAAATAATTTTATCCCGCTTAAAATGCAAGGTACTGTTCTGGTACTCAGTAAGGTATGGTGCCAGCCTGTTCAATTCAGTTGGTTTGGTCATCTTACCAGCATATTAAATATATTTTTGACTTGCATCTTAGTCTTCCTTAATCTAAACAATGAAGGCCAAAGCCAGCCATCTCCTCCATTGCCATGCACCTATTTCCTACTTGGAACAAAACGTGAAACTTAACTTCAGCTACATGCCAAGCAACCAGGGCAAAGCCAGGTTTGTAGAGAGATTATTTTTTGTTTGAACTCGTAGGAGAAAAAAAATGCTTGTTTTCAGGCACTCAGTCCTTTCTGAAACTCAGAAAAGTCAGCAGCCTGGAATAGAAATAGCAACCTCGTGTTGCTGTGGGTTCAGAGGGAGGCTGAAAATCCAATGCCACGTTCAGCTGCATGGTGTAATTTCTTAAACTATTTTCCACAGCCATAGTCCTTTCTTCCCAGCGTTTGCATTAACACGATTAACTTTATTGTGAATAGATTAAAAATGGTAAGGAATTGCTGTTGTGGTAAAAGGATGCAGGGTCAAGTAATACAGGACTGAACGGGTTGCTAAAAGCATTTTGGAAAGAGTAATGCCCCAGTCCTGCAGCTCCTCACACACATGCACCCTCCAGGCCCATCAGCGGGCTCAGGGGAGCGCAGGGTGTCCTCCGAGCCGCCGAGGGTGCGAGCCAAGGGTAACTGGCGCTGCAGCCAAAGGAAGTTTTACCTCAGTGTTCAAGGAGAACGGGATCAGTCACTAACCCGTGGCCTTTCCAGGTTGAACCGACTTTATTTAATGAAAACGCAGATTATCCATTACAAATGCACGTGTGTGGCGGCGCGAAAGGGAATTTGCCATGAAATTAGTTTCAGATAGGGAGAAAATCAGATGCAATTTTTCCTAGCAGTGTTTCTTACAGTCTTTATAGGCAGGGCTTTCCCATTGCCTGCAGTGGGACCTGCAGAAGCCGGGAGTGAGTGCCGAAGGGATTGATCCATAAGGTTTCCCTGACATTTGGTAGCCTCACATCACTTAGTTCTTGTTAGTATATTCTGAACCACCCACAGTATTTTATGATTATAATCCTCATGGGGTATTTTCTCATCGCTGGTCACAGTTTACAAATGGTTTTCCCCTCCTGAATCTCTTAAAACTGGCTGATTCTCCCTCTAAAATACTTGCAACTACTATCTGCTTATTTCTCTTGGTTGTGACCAGAAAATGTATTGCATTTATTGTCTTGCAATATAGGAAATTCGACACAAACAAAACAGAGAGACTCTAACCAAGTTTGGAGAAGATGGGCTTGATCCTCCCTCAGTGCTGTACTTCCCACCTGAACAAGTGAACGTACTGGATCAAAATTATACTATATTGTACTATGTACAACTTAGGAAACCTGCAGCTACCACCCTTTCCTGAATAATTCTTCATTTAATAAAATAGCCTTGACTTGAAAAAAGCAAATGATGAGCAATAACTATTCATACAATTAGTCAGGCAAGGTGTGCATATGTCGGTCAGGCATTCATCCAGTCAGAAATTGGGATGGGCCCAGTGTTTGTACTTAGCACTGATACAGCCTTTGTCTGTGGCTGTGACACACTGCCGGAGGGTGAGCAGTTCTGTCTTACGTTACATTGCTTTCTTACCTACTGGCTATTGCAGTTCAATGCCAACTATGTTACGTGCTGTACATTCTGCAAATTATAGACATTCTAATTCTGCTATAATTGATAAACCAAATAGAGTTATGACTCTATCAGCAATGGCAAACCTCCTAACATAATGTTATTAGGGAACTGGCGAACATGACAAGGATATCGTTAGCAGGGACTGTGACACTCTTCTAAGTTGAATCTCTTTACATCAACTCCCAGGTGCAACACCAGGAAGGAGGATTAAACTTTTAGCAAAAAAAATGTTAGCAACAGGATAAAAACGATGGGAGAGAAAAGAGATTCGTTGTCTGACAGGCACAAGCCTGACACCGGGGTATGGAAAAAAAATCACAGTCATCTTCAAGGATGCAGTAACACTTCCAATCAGCATTTCTTCTTATAAAGGAAGGTGTTGGTGATGGCTCAGCACCTGTCAGGACTGAGCTGATGGGAACTCATGTGCCACATGTTATGCTGGGAGTGAGGTTCGTGGATGAATTTCCCCACCAAAAAATAAGTTTAATGGATAGCTCTTGAAGTCTGGGCAGTAGTGTGAGTACATATAGGAAGTTGGAAATCACATTCCTGGCTCCTTCCAGGCAGCCCAGGCTGTTCTGCAAGGTCTTTACAGCCCCACGAGAGGCTCGGGCAGCGTTACAGCACGTAGCTGCCTAGCACTTGGTGTCCTTCACAGCCCCGATCCTGCCTCTGTGCCGATACTCCAGCCTACCACACGGTCTCATTATACCCCTGGGGGAGATACTGTTTGGCTCTGCTGCCTCTCCAGGTCTCAGGAAGGGCAAGGAGCATTTGCCTTTGATCTGTAATTGTTCTGCTCCCACAATGACACCCGTGGGATGCCGTGAAATACCAACGCAAGTTTGCTGTGGCAGATTTCCTGCTATGACAGCTTTCTACAGAGTCCTGCCAAAATACTCGCTGCTCGCTTTGTGCCGACAGCCTGTTGTTGTGCACCGCTCCTCTGACTGAGCTGCCGAAGAGCAACCGTGGCGGCTGAATCAAGGAGTTCTCATTTGACCCTTAAATGGGGGACACATTGTCGTAGGCAAGGGCGTCTTACCAGGAAAGCAGCCTTCACAATGGCAGGAAATATCTGCCCGTCAAGAGAAAAGGGAGCTCGTCCAGGGGCTGGAGCACTTGTGTGATTTTTGGACACCTGGTCTTTGCTCTGCTTTGTGCTTCCTGTGTGACTTGGAGCAAGTCGTTTGAGCATCTGAATCTCTTTTTATAACTTCTAAGTTTCTAAAGGAGTTCAGGCATGCCAGTGGGAGCTAGGAGCCTAGACAACTTTGTGTTTCTGCCCCTAAATTTCATTGCACCCAATTTCATTGGAAACACCAACATTGCCCACCTCCTTGGTCTGTAGTGAGGATAACTCTGTCAAATATAACAAGATTCTTTCAGGACTTAAGGATATCTTAAATATAACTTCATATTAATAATAAATATAAATATCTTACGGTATTCAGTTGGCTCTCTTTGGCACTGTAAAAGCTCCACTGAATAAAGAAATTTCCCAGCGGTCCAGAACTCGTGTATGTACAGAGGAGGGTTGCGTTTCCACCTGTAGTGACATTCACTGTCTTCTCAGGGACGGTCACCACCACACCGCTGACGTGGCCTGTGGGCAGTAAGTGTGGTGAGGAGAGATCAGCCAGGGCCGACCCTGGGAGCCGGGCAGGAGTGCCTTGCTACCTGCATTATCGAGGTAACCCGTAGGACGTGTCTAGTTGTTCTTTTCAGTACAGTTTCCCTTGGGGTTTGTGTGGAAATTTTAGTGATAACAAGCCGGGAGTGGTTAAAAGCTAACAAGCAAGTAAATCCCCCCCAAGATCTGTGCCCTTAGAACAAATAACATTCTGAAAAAGCAGAGTTACTAAACATGTACTTGTTCTCACTTGCAGAGACTTGTCCTCTCACTAAGAGCCTGTGGTTGAACTGAACCTTTTTTCTGCTCTCGCAGTGCTCTCCTGCACCTTGCACTCTCATTCACAGCTGTCTCTAGCCGTCTTTTACACCCTTCTTGCCCTTTTTTTTGCAGTTATTCCTTTAGATGTCTGATCTCCTTTACCATGGATCACCATCTCCTACAGTGTTGTCTCTTCTTACATTTTTACGTTCTGACTCGGACTCAGTGGCCCAGTCAGGTTCCCCCTGCACTGGAGCTCAGCTGGTTTCTTAGGGCTTACATGCAGAAGCTGTTCTTTTCCAATGCCTTTACATTGGAAATGTCAGACTAGGCTTTTTGAAACTGTTTTTATTGTGTCGGTTGTAAGAAATTCTGTGATAACTTCATCAACCCTTTCTGTTGTGCTCTGAGCAGAAAGGGAGCAAACACAGCTTGTGAGCCCCTTCCCATACTGTTCCGACCAGTCTTGGCTACACAGTCATATTAATGAAAGGAATCGAGCACCATCTTACAGTAATTATTTGTTTCCATATAAGTTACTAGCAATGGTGACATATGGCAGCAAAGCCAGCACTGTCAGAAAAATAAGTCTGAATTTCAGCGTTTTGCTAGGTCACAGGGTTTTAACGCTACTGTCTAAAGATTCTGAAGGAGAATATATTTCTTTTGAATGTGGTGGAAAAAAGTCTTTCAGACCTTTCTATGCAAAACAGGCAAGGTGAGAATCACGTGTTACAGTAATAATTTTCACATGGGCTTATTGCGTATATGAATGATTGAGGCAAAACATACAAAATATTCTTCTCAATGAAATTTCTGTGCATCTTACATTTGGGTTCTGCTTTTGAGAGTTTAAGCAGAATCTTCAGTAATACCAGAAGAGTATTTTGCTCAAATTATCAGCTGTATGAGAGAAAATATGTTTTAAAAAGGAATGCAATCTATTTTGACATTTTTAACTGTGTAAATATTGCAGATTCATCAGTTGCTACAATATGCAAACCTGTCTGAACCTAGAGTCTGAACTCTTCAGGGTCTGTTCTCCTTGTTTGATGGCTTCAATAGTAAAAGCTCACTGCAAGGAAGAAGGGAAGAATCTACTTTCTGTGTTGGTGGTGGCTAGGATGAGAATTAGAGGATTTAAACTGCAGCAGGATTCACATTATATGTGAAGACAGCCTCACAGGAATGGCTGGAGACTGACCTAAATGTGTCGAAACTGCCTTTGGGAAAGAGGGGATCCCAGTGCTTGCTGTGAGTCCTGCTTGCCCTGTGAGTTCACAGTAGCTTAATCCTTACTGAGATCTAGTATAAAAGCTGTGTAATATTATTTTAGATATCTGAGTTCACTGTTCTCAGCTTTAAGAGTTAGAGTTGGCCAGAGGATGATAGTTTCTTGCCACAATAACACTTCCAGGTTTACATGTATTTACTTTCTATTCACTGGATTAACACTACAGTCTTTCAACACAGTGTCATTCTACTGAGAACATCCATTTTCCAGTCATCTGCTCCACGTAAATCCCTTATCATACTCTGTTTTTGGAGTCAGGAGTGCCACAGAGCCTGGCTTTTATAAGCTTTCCCAAAAGAAATTCATTTTAGCAGAAACGACTCCACAAAGCATTCTCGTTTCCATGAAGCTGTGTATTTTGAAGAAATACCTTTAGTTCAAATAGGCTTTGCTCTACTAAAAGTATAAAGCCAAAACCTATCAAACATCCATTATCCAGCGAGGCTACTTAAAGCCATCACTAATTGTTAAGGTGGAGATTTTGACTGAAAATGGAGCGAACTGGACCCGCAGAGCCTGTTCCCTCGTCACGGAAGTTAATGGGAGTTTTGCTCTAGATTTAGTTCACTGTTTACGCTTTCAAACTCTTAATCCCATTTCATACATACAGCCCTTCTGGTTTCAGTGAATAAAAGCACACGAGTAAGAATTAGCTCCGTGGAAAAAGCTAGTGTGAACAGGACCGTAACTTGTTCAAAATAGTTGATCCATGTCTTTTACTCATCTATATTACACTAAGATTGTTTCCTTGCTACAGAGAAAGTCATTTCAGTTAGTTGGGAATCGCCCACTTCCACTGAAGTCCCATGCAGTTTTTAACGCTCATGAAGTAAATCCAAGTTTGCTGAGCTTTTCCTAGCCACTGTGGAAACCCACAGTCAGTGGCGCCCATCAGTATGGACACACTGCTAGTCCTAAATACAGAACTTTAAAATTGGAGGACTTCTTTTTTAAAAAAGTATTGGTACTAACTCTGAATTACTTTTCATTTCTAAGGCAAAAATCTGTGCGGTTTATGTGTGTGTGAGAGAGCGAACATTGAAACACCGGGAGCAACTATTTTAAATATTTCCTTGGCATCAAAATCAGATAATTACATCTTGAAAATAAAATGTGGAAACTAACTTCCATTTTCTTTAGTGGATACAGAGGCTGTCCATCTCCATGGAGCATTAGACTTAAAATGTCTGCTTCTGTATATATTAAAAATAAAGCTTAGCATAACGAAATGTCCTTGAAACATGAATAATATATACTCTTTAATATACCATATAATTCCTAGAATCCACAAAGTGTTACATCCACACTTAACTTCAGGGAAATCCAAAGGAGTATTTGGATGCTTAAATTTAAGCATCCCCCCAAAATTTTTGGTGGGGGTGGGACCAAGGCAGCATCTCCCAGGGCTATTATCAAGTGGAGACAAAAGCAGAACGTGAGAAAACCTAACCTTGAAAGACCCTAATGCTCTACGTGAGAGCTCTTTGCCTCTTCCTGGCTTTAGAGCAAAGCATTAATTTACCAAAGCTAAAATCCTGTTCTTGAGCAAAAACCTCTTAGCAGTCAGTGGTCAGCTGGCTGGTTTCCACAAAATGGCATAGCATTATAGCCAGGATTTTCATTCCGTCCTGAAGTAAATTTTGAATGCTCCCCTAGTTTGCCAGTCAGGTTTACCTGCTCTCTTATTTCAACAAGTTCCTTTATTCCAGTGCTATTTCGCTCAGTTTGTTATTCTTACCTGTAAGGATGGCTAGAATTGGAAATATCTTCAGCATCGTTGCAAACATCTTCTTGACGTTGGGAGAGAAAAGAGACCAGATGCTGCTTCTGACTTCAGCTAAAACTCAACTGTTTTGTTTTTTTTTTAAGTGGGTTTTTGTTTTCCTTATCAGCTGTGTATCAACACGTCAATAAGCTTTTTCATTCTCCTCTGTTATCACATATGTGCCTTTCTCCGACTAGTGGTGTGACTGTTCAGTTGAAACCATTTTGCAGGGTTTAAGCAACTGAGGGTTTTGTTAATAATAAACCTTTGAATCAGAGGGGCCCAGATTCTCCCACTTTTGCCAGGGCCCAGCAGTATTTGCCTACGTAAGTACTTCCACCGAGTACAAGAAAAGTATTTGTGGAGCTATTTAACAGTCAATCTGATTACCAGTGTTGGAGTCAGGTCTAATATGAATAAAGAATAATCTTTATTTCCTGTTAATTCTATGATTTCTTTTTAAATATGGGCATGTGGAGATAATACGTTGTTAGTAATTTTTCATTTGAAAACACGTTTCCCGTACAGTTTTATACAGAATGATTACATGGGACTCATGATGGCCTTGAAATGTCTATATTGAACTCACCAATAAGGTAACACATCAAAATAAAGATAAAAGTTATCTTCTGAACTGATAATAAAATTTATTTCATCTAGTTTTAATCCATGAAGTTGGATGCTACTAATACACAATGACAGGGTGAATATATTGATTTTCATTTAACTGTTAATATCTGATTTATATAGTGAAAAAGCAGTGGATGAAGGTTAGGACTTGAAGAACTAATTACAAAACTTATAGTAGATTATTTTGGCCTTACTGATGCAGAATGCCTTCTCTAAGACTCTGAAGCTCATTAGGAACTGAAGGTGCTCAACTTCATTTGCTTTCTTTCTTCCATGTCATTTGACTGAGGCTAACTCAAAGCCCCAAGCTGCAGTGGGAGCAGCTGGCTCTGCGTCCACAGCCATGCCTGGGTGGGCAGCTGAAGATGTCACAGAGGGCAGCACTGCCCTTTAGGTGTGTGGCTGTACCTAGGACCAAGACTATGAGAATGGTCCGTGACTTTTCTTCCGTGCTTGTTGAAAACATGGATCTAGCTCATGCCTGATGTTCCCATCTTTCTGGTGGCAAGCAAGGGCGGCCACCCTTTCCACGGCAAGGGCCATGCTGCAGCTGGGGAAACCCTTTTGGCAGGGGGCGCTCAGCATCTGGCCACGTGTGGTTGGAGGGGAGAGGTATGTCCAGGCTCTCCCTCATCCCTAATGATGTGATGTGGTGGTAGATACTTCAGTGTGGAAGTGGTGAGTCACTGGTTGCGTCAGTTACTACTGGGATCAGATTTATGGACTTAGGGGAATTTCGTTCTGCCAGAGATTTCTGTGTATGGCAGATGCCTGAATAATCTCTGGGCGCATGTCAGGGTTTGATTATATTGTTATATGAGCCATCTCCAAAAGTTTTATGAAGGTTGTGTTTTCCTTAGTTCTGACTGCCAGCACTTCACACAGCGTTCCCACAGGGTGGGCAGTGCTTGACTTTGTGATGGGGAGGACAAGACTTGAAACAATTAAATGTCTCACCCAAGGATGCACGGGTGACCCAAAGTCCAAAAAGGAAAATGCACGTTTAAAGACTGAAATTCAAATTCAGGTTTCTTCCAAAATGTGAAAAGCATTTAGATTCACCTTCACTAAAGAAGCATGGAGGGGCCCTAAATGTACATGGGAAGTTCTCACTGGCTTTTCCTGGGTCAGCCTAAAATGGGAGCTGCTGCTGTTGTGCAGTTGTTTAGCTATGGATGAGCACAAATGATCTGAACATGAGCGCAATCTACAGACCCATTTCGGTGATCGTCTGTGGCAGCTCCTTAATACCCAGAAGGAGTCTGACTAGTAGCTCACAGAGCATTGATCCTTTGTGAAAGACAGCTATTTTTCAAGAAGATGCAAAAAACAGCCACCACGCACTGCGGGTCAGCATGCACCTGCATGATCCTCTGTCTTTACCACAATATCCGTGTGTCCTCTAATTCCTTCTCATTTAACAACACCGAAGTCCTTTCTCTGACACGTAAGACACCCTGAACTAATACCTATTTTCTCCCTGTTACATTCACTTTTTAAGTCTGAAAGATGACAGAACTGCATTCCTGGAGGGTGAAATGCTCAGTTCGACCAGGGAACAGGAGTCAATAACACAACTTCTCCACTAATATGCGCTGCTTTAAGCTTAGGATGCAGGGCTAAGATTACCAATTACGGAGCGGGTATATCTCGTAGCAAATGATTACAACCATCAACCCTGTTTTACAGAGTATACTGAACACCAGTCGCATTTACTTTTGACTATTACCAGCCCCGGGCTCATTTCACACAGCCAAACCAGAAGCGTGTACCCTAATGCTAATCTTCCAAGCCATCCAGGGTTATTCTCCTGTGAAGGTACCTGTCAGCTGCTGGCTTTGCTTCTAGCTCATTGTTAATAGAAAGCAGCACTGCCTGTTCAAATGTCACCTTAGGAAAAGAGCTGACCACAGAAAGCAAAATCTGGTTTGGTCTGATGATGGTTAAGGTTAAGTTCCAGCGGGCCGACAAAGAAGCTCTCACTTACACTGCCGGCCCTTGGCTAAGAACAGCCCAGAGCGCAGCAACGGTGGCAGCCACTTTGCCATGGGTGGAGCAAAGGCTCTTATCTCGAGATAAAATGGAAAGGGCTAGTACCAGGAACTGTATGTTAACAGACTCTGTGACTCAAATCTGTGTACACTGAAACGTATTCAGAAATGTTCCCTTCCAAGCAACTCCCTTGTATTCGCTCTATAAATAGAAGTGTCAGTCATTAACAAAAATGAAGCCCAGAGGCACACCCAGAGCAAGGCAGCATTGCCCAGCCGAGCACTGCCGTGATATTTAGGGGTTGCTTCTGTCGGTCTGAAACCTAATTAAAAAACTTCCTGTAGAATTCCATGTTTATCTTGACAAAGCTCAGCAGCACTTAAACCGCTTTGTCTTCCTGAAATATACTAAATAGGTGATTGTTCAAAGACACCAAACCCAGCATAAGGTGATTTTTATAAAGCTCTCTACTTCAGTATCACATCTGATTGCTGGGGATGAAGAGAAGGGTGTAATTAAACATTCAAACAAGCACAGTAAAAGAGCTGCTCTAAGCCTCTAAATACATCGTTAGGTTGACTTTTAAATGCGCTTTACAGTCTGCTTGCTTATTGCACAGCTTCATTTGTTGTCTAAAAAACATTTATAAACTTCTGCTGGAGTGATTGCTGCCTAAACGTTAATTCATGAACTCACTGCTGTTTTTAAGCTCACAGAGAGCTGAAGTCTGTAAAGGTGCTGATAATATAAACTCTTCTGAGGAAGGCACCATGGCTTGTCACCTCAAAATAACTTGGTCAGAAAGATACCTAATCCTCTGTATGCAACGCCCAGAACAGGCACAGCTTATCAAAAAGCGCAATACCGTTTCCTTATAAAGATGCTGGACGGGTCATTTTTTGTATTGTCCCTTTTCTCACTCCAGAAAGAAGTACTTTTCTCCTTTTAGCCATGCAAAAGACAGGGTCCCCTGGAGCAAACTGCGTTCTGCATCCTCGCCCGCGTGCTAAGGAGTAACACCTGGGGAGCACTTCAGCTGCATATGAATTTTTATTTTATACATGAGCACTAATAAGCCCAGGTTTATCAGCACTGCTCTCCCAGTCGGTGGCTGTGACATGACCCTAGACTGCCCTGTATTTGAAGGTGTCCCGTCTCCCTTCCTGCATCCTTCCCACCGCAACCTTGTGCTTTGTTTCGCTGTTTCGGTACTGCCCTCACTGGCGTTTCCAGCACAACCCAGTGATTTCTCTCCAGCTCTTCAGTGAAGCTGTGGGCTGTGCAGGTCAGCTGGAGGCAGGACTACATGGGAGAGGAAAGAGACTGAGCTCCTTTCCCAGCACGATGTCCCGTGGACCCATCCCAGCCACGTAACTCACCCCCCGACATCACTGTGATGGTTGTGCTGATACTGCACATGAGGCTCGTTTTGCTTATGGCAGGGGTTACCATAAAATCACACACAGCTCTCCGGAGAAGGCTGCCTTCACACCATCACTTGCTGTTCTCAGCTGTCTGTGGAGGAACACTTGTAAAGAGCCCTTTGTGGAGATATAGTCTGAAAGTTTTCAGGAAAAATCAGATGCAACGTACCCTTCCATCTTTCTTCTTTTCCCAACCAAGGAAAGGCAGCAGGCTGCAAACTTTCAGCGTATTTTTGAATCCGCTGTGAACAAGTAGGTAGCCAAGCTGGCCACAAATCCAAATCAAACCTGTCTTTTCATCAAAAGAAAATAGCAGCGTTGGCAGACACAGAACTTCCCCCATGCAGACAACTGTTTCTCTTCAAAAGGGAACGAAAGAAAAGGAAACCAGTGTGGAGCTGTAACTGAAAAACAATCGCAAGAAAGCTTGGAAATGGAAATAGAAAGACAGGCTTCCAGTAGGCTGCAGGCTTAATGATGCAGAGAGAAAGATTGTCTGAGGAAAGCGAAGAAAATGGTCCCAATCTAGGTGATAACTGTGGAATCCAAGGGAATTGTGTGTCCCTGTAAAAACTGCAGAGGATAAATACTACCCAGCCACAAAAGTGCAGTCTCCTGCCAGACACCCCTAGTAGGCACCTAAATGACCTTTATCACCCAAACATTGTCCCAAGCGGGTGACCCACCGTGTCTGCCCACAGTATTTCTGCTGCTGCGGGGAAAATCACACCGACAGAAGTGGGATGTAGGAGAGCAAAGACCTCTTGCACCCACCCACCCTCTGCTCCTGCCTGCTCTGGGGGGCTGTGGGCATGGCGCTGCTGCCTCCCATCTGCCTGCTCACCGGCTGGCACGGTGGAGAGGGCCGGTGGGGTTCTCGTGCACCGATCCTGTTCAGGGCTCTGCAGGGAACATCCTGGCTGTGCCAGGGGTGCTGCTTACAGAAGAGGGGTGGCAAATCTGGTGCAGAGGGTGGTTTTGGGCCAGCGGTTACTGCACATTTTAAATACACCCTCT